GCACGCCACTCCCCTCGCGCTGGTTCTTCTCTTTAGGTTTCACTTACCCAACTACTTCAATCGACTCAAGCTCGCGTGGGGTGACAAAGATCTGTTCCGCTTTGCGTGGCTGAAGCTAGGTGCAGCTTTCCACATGATTAAAAAACTCCCTGCCGTAGCTGGAGAGGTATCGGGAGATGTGTTTTGCGGTTTGACCATGGCACAGCACGATCCCAGTGGGGACGTAGTTTTCTTGCATCGCAACCATCTCAAACTGACGGGAGATTCCAAGGTCGAAAACTTTGACCCTCGCTTGAAAAAGGTTTTTGGAAATGCTGTACCGTCTCAGCGAGCAATCAGCGAAGATGGATATCCAGATCCTGCGATATGGACACACTTGGTTTCCTTCCGCGAGGACTCTCCGCGATCCGAGTATATTATCCAGAAACACGGTGCCATGAACAGGTTTACAGGAATGCAAAGGTGTTTCGGAGGACGTGAGCTGCACAGAAACCCTCACTTTGACACACAGGAATTTACACACCTCAGCTTCGCCGGTTTAGAATTGCGTTTACGGCAATTTGCTATGAGCGCAGCTAAGCTTCAAGTGAAGATAGGAAAATTGTCAACATAAGATAATCTATGGGATAAAACTTTGAAGTATCATTTAACTGTTGACGACAGGCTCTACTTGTACGTTTCACAATGCTGTAATGAGCCCAGAACACCCATGGCGATGCCGGCGACGCAATAGATTCTGCGAGAAATACTCTGGCAAAGGTGTAGCCCCCATCCCGACCAGACACTCGGTGTTAAACTTTTTGCCTGGATATCCCGCCTTGTCAATCTGTCTCCGCTGTTGGCGTGGTGTCATGTGCGTTGGAACAGTGTTGAATAAATTGTTCTGCTTGGCTTTCTGGATAAATCCGATGCCTTGCGGATACGGATCGATCAGTGCCTTGCCGTTCATGTACAAAATCTCAGCCTCCTCATCGTCAGAGCCCTGGACTGGCATGTACTGCAGGATGCTAGCGCAGAGAGTGTCAGGGTGGTTCTTCATTTCTTGATTAGCACCACACTGACCCCCCACGGTGTGAAAAAGTATGGCGCACGTGCCATCTCGAATGCTAGCCAGAAAGTCTCCTTATCTCCCCACGAATACGTAAAGCGAAAGCGTTCCTCCGTGATAAACCAAAACAAAATGTCCATGACAGTTTTTCCTGCGCGCTTCTTGTCAATCAGCACCATTGACGAGTCCATCTCATGAATGGACTTGCCTCTGTAAGCAAATGTATTGAGCATTTGCTGCGAAGGAGCGAGCCCCTTCGATACGTTGAATCTGGCGTAGTCGAATTCGCGTAACAGCTTGTGCACGTACATCTCCCCAGAATCATTGCCAGTCAAGAAGCGCCTCTGGGTGATGACTCGGTCGTAAAAGAACGTTGTGCCAGTCTTCACGTACCCATCAAGACTACGCACAATAGCAGGGTCTTTCAAGATGACGTCATCTACGTCTAGCAGCATTACATGGCGGACATCCGTGTAATACATCGCAAGCGGCTTGATCCACCAGCTTCGAAACTTTGAAGCCATTTCTTTCGATATGATGCCACGAGACTAGAGATCAGAGCACACATCCACGAGTTCCACGCGATTGTCCAGACTGAACAAGAGCTCTACGGATCGATCTGAGAGCTCATTACCACAGTGATATACCTGAATGAGCTCTCGGTTCCCAAGACATCGTAGCTCTCTTGTCCCATGTTCAGCATCGCATCGTGCAGGCATACCATGGCGGCACGGCCACGGACCACGCTCCTGTCAAAAGACTTACCACGCCTGTAGAACGGTGATGTAGGGTGTGTTGCGCTCGCGAAGCTGTCTTCGAATGCGGCATTGTCCATCTTCCAGTCTAAATGCGAATGATTGAGCGACGTGACCCCCAAACTGTGACTGAGACCAACAGACGCATTATTGACGAGCGTAGTGTTGACGTAGACGGTTGTAGCAAGGATGCTCACTACCGCCAATAGAAGCAATATCGGCTTCCGCGCCTTGGAAAATCAAGGCGACCTATTGGGAGAGAGATCGGCTAGAGTGTGATAATTTTTAGAAAAAGAATTGGGTGTCCAAACTCAAATCGCGGAGCAGTCATACCAAATCTCAAGATTGTGAATTTTGTGAGTCCTGGAGTTCAGAATTTACACATGATACAATGAAAACTACCGGTACTCTAAAAAAATAAATCACAACGATTAAGTTACGGAAAAATCCGTACTCTTCCACCACAACAGGTATTGGTAGATTTTTGAATTAATTTCTTTACAGAATGTCTTGCACACTTAAAAAAAAGCTGCTAATACATGTATACTGTAGCCTGCTTGGCTGATTACCGGTATTGAGCGCGCAGGAAACGTACGTTGCAAAATTTTCAAGGGTGCAACAATCAACATCCGACTTCACAGATGGATCTTAACCCCCCAAGTGCGAGGCCATTTGGTGCTCGCCATCTCAGACATACCTACACACGTTAAGCAAGATGGGCACCCATATTATACTCCATATATATTTTAACGTGTCTGTACTAAAGCCGGTCCATACCCCCAACCCCAAACTTTGGTATCGTGTCTTCCCCGCCTAAAGTGTCTTCCTAATACATGGTATATCTATTATTGTGTCTCCTGTACGCAAAGACGATACAGTACAAGCCTGATTTATTTGTCGATATTTAGAAAAACAAACCAGCTGGGAATACGTGAACTGTGCAGTATATTTAATGCAAGTCAAAAATCAGAGCCGGAGCCTGCCTAAACTACGTCATCACTTCTGCGGGATCGCTTCTTGCGTGATGATCCGTCACTTCCAGATTCACCGCCCGACTTCTCGGAGTTCTCAGCATCACCTGCAGTCTCATCGGTAGGTCTCTTCGGCTTACGGGCACGAATCTTGCGTTTGTTCCGTGTCTGAGGGATCAATGTGCCGTTCTTCCAATGTTTATGCCAGATCTCGAAGCACGATGCTGGAACACCGTTCACGGAGTGCTTCACTTTGTTGCAAAGGAAGACTCGAGCTGCTAGAGCATTTTTAGAGACGGTTTCAGCCTGCATTCACCG